AAAGACTTTGGAAATGGAACCAATCAAAAAAATTACTTTACAACCCTAAATCAAGCTCCTGTACCAAAAGACAAGTTAACGGACCAACTACCTGCGAAAATGGTCTCAGAACAAACTAATGCTGTGACTTCTAAAGTTTCAAGAATACAACAAAGAAAAGGAGAACTGACAGTAACTAGTGCTCCAGAGACTATAAATGCGTTGTGGTCTTGCTATCAGATATCTTCAGAAAGCTGACCAAAAAAAAATCCACAATGCTCAATGTTACTTCATCAAAGTTCATGAAGAAATTTATTTTGGAGTGGAACACTTATTTCATTAGGGAGATGGACTGACTGAATGACTGACGCTTCTAGTTCATCAATCTGAAACCATACCTAAGACTTGGCATTGCCCTGATTGAGGCTGACCACTGGGTTTTTCCAGCCTGAGTGAGACAGGGCTAGCAATCAGAACAGTAAAACTGGGTGGTAGGCAAGTGATCTTCTTGATAAAAAATTAATAAGTTTTGTTATACATAGTAATAAAACACCACATTGGCATTCCCCTTTGTCCTAGCAAACTGCCAGTCTCACTTCTATCCCTCACATCCATCTTTCCTCATTATCAAGCCAAATCTTGACATTCTTATTCAGCCCCTGGAAGAATGGGATCCTTAGCAGAGAAGGGGAACCACACAAACTACTGTAGACTGAGTTTACAATATCTCACACCACTTTGACACACAAGTTTGAGAAGGGTGCCTGCTATGGGGAGCAGCCACCCCCATCCCAACCAACTTTAATGTCTCTGTAAGAGCTGACCCTATGTACATCTCCCCTGTTGCCTCATTCAGATTACTATGATGAAGCTTATCTGACCTTAAATACATTACCAGCTGTGTGTAAATCCAATTCCTTTATACTCTCTTCTGGTGTGTGAGGCAAAGTTTCCTCACTATTACTTTTCCACCTTTATATAAAACAAAAGGTATGTAACCTTTCTGCCAGGTGGAGCCAGCAGCAACCAGGGTCATGTTTAATAGCTAGGGGTTCCTTTCCATCAATACAACACAAAACCAGCTCGAGCTCCCACCCAGTAACCTGTGAAAATTACACACCATCCCTGGGCACCTCTGAGAGGCAATACTTCCCCACTCACAAGCACAGAGTCCGAGTGTAGAAAAGCAACTTTTAATAAAAGGAGGGAAGTAACTCGGAGTTAATTTGGGAAAACACTGCAAACAGGATTCATAAACATAAACCATGAGTAAAAGCCCCACTCCCAAGTAGGTTGGGCAGTGCCCTTTTCCCCTTAAGTCCAGCAACCCAAAAATCCCTTTCACATGTCCAACTCTTCTCTGCATCCCACTCTCAGTTGCTATCCTTGGTCAGCGCAGACCCAGAGTTCAGAGGTGCATCTGCAGAGTTGGGTGGGAGGTAAAGAGGCATCTTACTCAGTCTGTTGGTCTGCTCACTGCTCTCGTCGCGCCCTTCCACCAGCAACCCTGCTGGCCGCTCATCGCGCCTCTCTGCCGCCACCCTGCTGTCTGCTCCTTGTGCCTCTGCCACCATCCTGCTGGTCACTCATTCGCCAGCTGACTGTCAGTCACTTTCTGCCTCTCTGCTGTGACCGCTGCACATCAGTCTCTCAGTGATTTTCAGCTCTTTTGCGGGCTGGGCAGAAACACTGCCCCATCTAAAGTGATTTCAGTTCTCAGTAAAAAGAAGAACAGGAGTACTTGTGGCACCTTAGAGACTAACAAATTTAAATTTGTTAG